CGCCGGGTGCCGCCGTGTACCCCTACGCCGCGCCTCCTCCGCCGTCCAACGCATACTACAACTACCCGAACAACCCCTACTACCCCCAGGGCTACCAGTACGACCCAGAGTCCGCCCGCCGCGCCACCTGCCTGCGCCGCATCTTCGCCTTCGTGATCGGCCTCGTCGTCATCTTCGGCACCGTCACCTTCATCGTCTGGCTCGTCCTCCGCCCCCAGCTCCCCGAGTTCCGGGTCGACTCGTTCTCGATCTCCAATTTCACGCTCGGCAACGACTCGCGCATCTCCTTCACCTCCGAGATCCGCCTGACCGCGCGTAACCCTAACAAGAAGATGACCCTCGCGTACGACCACATCGAGGCCGTGATCTTCTACAGGTCAGAGTCCCTGTCGGAGACCGTCGTCCCGCCCTTCTGGCAGGACACAAAGAACGAGACCTCCCTGACGGCCAATTTCGCGGCGGCGGGAAGCTTCGTGAGCAGGACGGTGGCGGACGAGATCAACGGCGACAGATTGAGGAGTGGGAACGTGGATTTCAATCTGAGGATGCTTTCTAGGGTTAGGTTAGAGGCCAAGGCGTGGAGTACTCAGAGAAGGTTTCTGAAGGTTTTCTGTGGAGAATTGATTGTCGGGGTTCCAAGCAATGGGAGAGCCGGGGCTTTGATCGGCGGGCCACAACAGTGCCGTGTGGGGATTTGAGGTGAAGTTTTAGGAATATCTTTTTAGGCCATATCTGTTGGATATTTTTCTGTTTAATCTGAATGTTGAATGATGAGCATAAATATCTGATTTGGTTCTGTTGATTTGATATACAAGGAATGTGATTTTCTAGGATTGATCTGTTTGGTGTACAGTTAAACCTCTCTGTGTTCTTGCTTCTTTTCAATCTCATGGGTTAATCAAATTTCCTGTTTTAAATGTTGGATCTTTTTCGATTCTCATGTTAGATCTTCGTTTTGATTAGTGATGTTTGAGCTAGGTAAAAGCACCTCGGATTATTTTTATTGCTGCCTATAATAACATAGCTTCGACTCTCTTGGCTTTGAACTGATAAACAGAAGTCAAACCTCGAAAGTGATATTTTTCTATAATTTAATGTTGACATTTGGTTATTTCCTTTTCCTAAATCTCTTTGCTGTGTGAGCAACTCTAATATTTGAATTGTATGGTTGAGCTGCTTAAGATAATTACTCCACCAATATTTAGTCCTCCTGGATTAGGTTTAGCTTTTTCCAGAATTATGTTATGTGCCCAGGTTAAAGTTAGCTTCTTTGGATACATTTTCCATCCGAAAACATGGATCTTATTAGGGTTGCTTGTAATATTATAATTTGTAAGAAGGAACTCTACAATTTTATGATTATGAATATGCTTTAGCTGTTTAAGTCGGTGATATTGGCTGTTCCTAAGGTCTTCAATACTGCCCTCTTTGATCAAATTACTTATCGACTGCATCACTTGCATTTCGGCCGTGGAATTATTTCTAGATTTTGTAGCTGTACGGATTGTATTAAAGAGCTTGGTAGTTGGTATGAATCTACCATCTATTTCAACATTCTCTGTTGTTATCAGTATAAATTAACGTGTCGAATGTTGTCGAGATGATTGTCATTCAGTTTTGGAGTATCTCAGATGATCGGGTGGCTAACATAGAAGCTACGGGATCTGAGCTTTATGCCTATTTATGAAATCATTTGTTTGATTGATCATTGTTGAAGCTCTGTGTTTTGCTGTTCACTTCATTTGATGATTTCAGTTTACCGAACTACTACATGGTTCTAAAGCTGGACGATATTTTATGTTTAATGGCTACAGAAGCTTTTTTTCAGATCTTGTAGCTTACTAGTGTGTTGTAGCCCGTGTGAGGTAAACAATATTAAATAATAATTATAAATTAAAAATGATGGTAAACACTATTAACTAATAATTATAAACTAAAGATGATGGTACACAATGCTAACAAATAATTATAAATTAAAGATGTGGAGTTAATATATGATATAATTTGTCGTATATTAATTGTAAACAATACAAAATTATCTTATATTAAAAAAAATAAAAAATGTATGTCTAAAATATTAAAAGTACTTAAAATATTATATAACGTATGTAAAAGTATCTAGTATTTTATATATCTTTGTTGAAATATGTTAAGTCACCTAAAAATTTATTAAACTATTTTGTAAAGAATACATGTATAAAACTATTTAAAAATATGTAAAGTGACCTAAAATTTTCTAAATTATTTTTTTAAAAAGATGTCTGAAAATATTTAAATTTAAATATATATATATATATATATATATATATATAGGGGCTGGTTCAAATAAAAACTACGTCTGGTGTGAGAACCGTGAGAACCATATTTGATGCTATTTTTAATTGTGTATGATGTTATTTTTAATATTACATGGTGCTATCATTTTCATAAATGCTAATAAAAATTTTGTTGCTATTTTTAATCAAATACATCCTAGTTAAAAATAGCACTAAAACACAATTAATCATAGCACTACATACAATTAAAAATAGCGGTTCTCACGGTTCTCATACTAGGACTTGGTTCTCATTTGAACCACATCCTATATATATATATATATATATGTATGGTGTATATGTAAATGTATGTATAGATAGGATGTGTAGAAAAAATTTCTAAATAATATGTATAAAACTATATAAAATATTATGAACCTACATATTAGCTTACTCTTAGAGAAGATAGGAAAATGCAAAGATAAGAAAATCTATAGAAGAGGAGAATTGTGTGTTTGTGTTAGATAAAAAAAAATATATATATCGAAGATGAGAATTAGCTCAATTTGATGAGGAGAATTGTGTGTTTGTGTTAGATAAAAATATATATATATATATATCGAAGATGAGAATTAGCTCAATTTGATGAGGAGAATTGTGTGTTTGTGTTAGATAAAAAAATATATATATATATCGAAGATGAGAATTAGCTCAATTTGATATGGCATTAAGGGTTAATTTGATAAAAAAAATTCAATCACACTTCTTAGCTATTTGAGGGTTTGCCAAATTATAAATGTTTTGTTTAGTTCATCAAACGTGTATTAATAACATTATCCAATTGGAATTGATTATTAACTTTATTTTCTATTTATAATTGGTATAGTTGTATTATTTTCTAAATAATAACATTATCCACTTGGAATTGATTATTAACTTTATTTTCTATTTATAATTGGTATAGTTGTATTATTTTTTAAATAAGGCAAATCTAATTTCTAATTATAAAGATAATTATTATTATTCTTTATTTTGTATACGGAATCTTAATATTAAATTAAAAAAAATGTCAAAATATGATTCATTTGAAGTATCACGAAAAATAACGAATAGAATAATTATTGAGTTTAACAAAATAATGAAAAAACTCGGTGGTAATTTGAATTAACCAAACATTTTATAATATTGATAACCTATATGTATGTAGATTATTTGATAAATTATTGACACTTCAAATTTCGAATGATATGCTACATTCGATTTCCAAGTTTTGTGAGTCTAAATTAATATATAAGAAATAAATATACAAGATAAACACTTGTTCGGATTCAATTGAGATTCTTCCTTGATTCCTCCCATTGAATTTGTGTTTGTTTTTCATATNCTCACATAAGCAAATACAATAAGTCTTACAAAGGCATAACCACGACTTCAACCATAAGCCTGAAGTCTAATAACAGCAACAATGCTGCAGCAAATACATAGAACCAATACAAGAGAAAATGAAAAAAATTAACTACCACTATTGGAAGAGATATTCTCATGTTCAAAGTTACAAATAGAAAATTGATTAGCCAGAGAGAAGATGTCCTCAGCCATCATGTGAATTTGCCAGTTGAATCTGTGTTTCTTGCTTAGTTGAGCAGCTAGAACTTTGTCTTTGATTATGCAAGTGATGTGAGTCCACCCTGTTTGGACAGCATTCTCCAAAGTCCATCTAACTAAGCTTAATGTTCTCCCCAGCTTATCTCCTTCATATCTGCAGACTTCCTTCCAATCTTTAAGTAAAGCTCCATCTCTTTTAGCCACAGCCTCAAACAATACACTTCCATCCAAGGAGGTTAGAGCACTGGCAGTTATAAAGATCTGCCCTACTCTCTGGGAAAAGTCCTCCAAGTTTGGCTGTGTTGTATGTTGCTTTTGCACCTTAGGAGCAGTTTCAGATAAACTTGTCTCAGTGAACTCAATCCAGTTGCCAACTGCTCTTCTGACCAATTCCATCTCAGAGCATTTCTCTTTATTAAACACCCAGTTGTTTTTCAGAATTTGACTTGCATTTTTTATGATTGTTTAGAGTTTTTTTTGTAATTTGGGTATGCAAGAGAGGCGTGATGATATTTACCCAACCACTTATTCTGTAATTTGGATGATGATTATATTCATGCACTACCATCTGCTCATTTGAAAAATAAAAAATAAAAATAAAAATAAAAATTGAGATTCTTCCTTCACTTGAATTTGAATTTTACACCTTACAATTGGAGACCTCTATAAACACGCAAACAGTTTTTTTATTTCTCATAGTCATATACTAATATATGTATTTCAAGATTTTTATTTATGAACTTTTACACTTATATCACTTTTATTAATCAACTTAAATTATAAATATACTTTCAAAATTGAATAACTTTTAAATTTGTAATCAATATATCAAATATGATATATAAAAGGCAAAATTGCAATTTAATACACCACCTTTCACAGTTTTTCATTTTAATCACCACCTTTGGGAATTGGCAATTTAATCACGAGCCTTTTCCTTTTTTGCAAAACGAACCACAATTCACGGTGCCGTTTACAGAGTGCTGAGTTGGAAGTGACGGAAATTTTGAGGGGTTGATGTGGCCATGCTGGAATAAACGGTGTCGTTCGCACATATATGAATGTTGTTGCAAAATTCCTCATTTTCGATCGACATAAACCCTAATTCCCAACTAAATCCTCTCAAACTCACCTGCAACAATGTCGTCTGATTCGAGCTATACTCGGCGTGTAGTGTGCTTCTATGGATTGATTGCAAATGTGTTGACTTCAAACACAGACAAGAACCCATCACGGCGATATTACAGATGTCCAAATGAAGATGTAAGCTTTTTCGATTTCGATAGTATAATGGCTCGATATGCTTGCATATGAGAGTATGTTTATTTGGGGAAGATCGAACCATTGAATTTGGCAATTTTTGAAGATTTTACAAATGAAAATTAGGGCTATTTGATTTGGTAGACTTTTGTAATATTGTTGATTTTGCATTTGAAAATTAGGACATTTGACTCGGAAAATTAGGGCATTTAAAATTGTTTATTTTTGTAAATTAGGGCATTTGAAAATTGGGGCATTGTTGATTTGACTCTAAAACTGGAAGCCTGAATTTGGCAATTTTTGAAGATTTTACAAATGAAAATTAGGGCATTTGACTCGGAAAATTAGGGCATTTAAAATTATTGATTTTTGTACATTAGGGCATTTGAAAATTAGGGCATTGTTGATTTGACTCTGAAACTGGAAGTCTGAATTTAACTGAAAAGTTTGTATAGACAGTGATCTTGAGTATTTTTGCCTTCCTTTTAGTGTCTTATTTTTTTGCAATTGATGAAGAATTTCCTTATGCCTTCATTCTGAGAGTTCTGAGAGTTTGCCTTCCTTTAGGATGAGAAATGTAAGTTCTTTCAATGGGTTGATGAAGAATTACCTCCATTCCAAAAGGCTAGATTTTTGAAGTTGAAGTCTTAGAATAATCTGTTGGAGGAGCAATTAAAATGCACAAAATATTCTGAGAGTTTGCTTGCTGAGAAGCTAGAATTGAAGGAGAATGAAGTTATTAGGCTACAAAACAAGCTCGATGATTTGGAGAAGACCATCAGCTAGAATTGAAGGAGAATGAAATGTTTAGGCTGCAAAACAAGAATGAAGATTTGGAGAAGACCATTCATGCCATGTGCAAGCTACAAAACAAGAATGAAGAGCTGGAGAAGGCCATTCATGCAATGTGCAAGAGAAAGAAGATTGAGAGAAAATTGATTTTGTTAGTTTTAGTTTTTTGTGTGGCTATGTATTGGAATGGAGTTGGAAATGGAAATGGTAGACTGATGCTTAAATAGACAGTGTTGGTTTTGTATTATGGTTGGTAAATGTTGGTTTTGTATTATTATGGTTGGTAGATGTTGGTTTTGTCTTATGGCAGGTATGTGTTGGTTTTGGAAAAGGTAGATTGAATTTGTATGATACTATTATGTAATGGAATTGGCAGACTGAAGTTCTAAAGTAAGTTGTATGCTATGTGATGTTGTATGATGCTATTATGTGAAGTTGTATTCTATGTGAAGTTGTATGCTATCAGACTGAAATCATGTTGCTAAACAATAGCTACATGATTTCCTTTTAATCATGTAGACAACCTGATATCAAGAACCCAAAATAAAAGCAAGAAATGCAAATTATGGCTGCCTAAAACATACACACCAAAATATCCAACATATCCAACATACCAAAATCTCAAACATATCCAATATATCAAGATAGATATTTCACTTCAAACTAATATCCAATATCCAGCACACACCAAATAGAATTCTTATCACAAATTTATACTTCAAAATACCAAGTACACAACCAAGTACAACAAAAGGTTCACCAATGCAAATTAGGTTTCAAAATCAAGTCCACAACTACTTCAATCCATAATCAGACAAAACTACTTATTAGCCACACTCTCTTGAGTGCCTGAAACAGAACAATCTTGAATTTTCTTTGATTGGCTCCTGGTACTAGGACTACCAACAGAGTTCTTGGATGGACTCTTTGTACTAGGACCACCAACAGAGTTCTTGGATCGACTCCTGGTATTAGGACCACCAACAGAGTTCTTGGATCGGCTCCTGGTACTAGGACCACCAACAGGGTTCACCAAGCGCACTCTTTTGTCACTTGACATCTGCAAATATATTAGCATTCAACTTAATTGAAATGGACACAACATATCTATTAAGATGAAGTAAATAATAGCTAACCCTCATGTAAATCGATCTTGTCTCTTCAGAAACAAACACACCATATCCCTTCTTTGCCTGAAATAAAATATACACATGAATATAGTGAATCGGTTTGTAAGTCAATTTAAACAGTTTAAATATACCAGTTCTCTATCTTTCATTGTTTGAGCTATGTGGATTTCATTTTCTTGTGTTGGATTTTTTCTCTTTCTTCCTGTTTCTTGTGTTGGAGGTGCAGTTAAGTGGCTATTGTCCTGTGTTGGAGGTGAAGCTATGTGGCCACTGCCTTGTGTTGGAGGGACAGCTGGTACATTCTCAGACCCACTAGGCAATGCATGTATCCTTGGTCTACCTCTCTTTGCCTAACAATGCAAATAAAAGTGTGAATAATTTATTAACACACACAAAATATTGAACAAAATAAAATGCACCATATACCTTCTGAGGCTTGGGTGCAGCTTCATTTTTGCAGCTTCTCTTGTTGTGTCCAACTTTCAAGCATCTTTGGCATCTCATTTGCAATCCAAAATGTTTCAAGGTTGTAGCATTCTTCTTCTCCTCTTCAGGGGCTTTTTTTCTTGCCATTTTAGGTCTCCCAGGCATTTTTTTGAATGGAGGTGGTCTCACTTTTTCCCCGGTTGCCTCAGGCCACATTTTCTTTCCATTCAAAGGTTCAAGTGAAAAAGAATAGGCCCTTAAATACCTCTCAAGGCTGAAGTAAGGATGTAAAAAGGTTGCCACATCTTTTTTCTGATAAACAATTGCAGAGCAGGCACGGGCACAAAGAATCCCAGAGATATCCCACTCTCTACAGGTGCAACTCATCTCCCTCAAGTCAACTACAAACTGATCTTCTGAAATTGCCACTTGAAACTTGTCACCCACAACAGGCTTAGTATGGCACAATCTACTTTTGTACTTAGCCTCTTCAACCTTTTTCCTAATCCTAGGACAAAGCAGATCACTCACAGCACTACCCAACATAAGTTTCTCATGGTGTCTTTCCATAACATAGGTTCTAATGACCTCAAGCATCTCCACAATTGGTTTTTTTCTAGCAGCTACAATGGTACTATTAAATGTCTCACACACATTGTTCAATATCATATCACACTTGGGTAACTCTGCAATAAAAGCCTTACAAAATCTAAAGGTTTCTTTGTCAAGTAAATCCTTACATGCATCTGGATCAGCCACATTCAACTCATCAACAGCTTCCTTGTAGGCTACCCGATATGTGCTGTGCACTATTCTCCAATATAGGTCCTTCAATGTTTTCCCTGGGTACTTTTTTTTCCAATTCATATACACATGTCTAGCACAGTTTCTGTGCTCAGCATGTGGTGTGAGTTCTTTGATAGCTGCAATCAGTCCCTACAAGTAGAAAATAGAACATAAATTAGAAAAAATACAACATAAATGCACACTGAACAAACATGAAGTGTACTAACCTTCTGTTGGTCACTAATGAATGTCCAACCCAAACCATCCTCTATTCTAAGCTCTTGAAACAGTATAGTCAAGAACCACCTCTAGTTGTCTTCATTCTCTGAGTCAACAACAGCCCAAGCCAAAGGATATATTTGGTTGTTCCCATCTTTTCCAACTGCACACAACAACACACCTCCCAGAAATGTCTTTAGAAAGCAACCATCAAATCTAATTATTGGCCTACATCCTTGCAGAAACCCTTCCCTTAAAGCACTGAAGCCATTAAAGAAAGCCTTGAAAACATGTCCTTCTTCTAATAGCAGTTCAAATCTCCCATTTCTATCCACCCTCTGCAGCTCAGCAATATAATTTCTGAGGCACCCATAATGTTCTGATTCAGAGCCTCTAAGCATCTCAAGAGCTTTGTATTTCCCTCTGTACAACTTCCATTTGGATGGTTGTACTCCAAACTTGTCCATAATGAGCTCCTGCATATTTGAGACCTTTATACTAGGCTGTTTCCTGAACTTTTCCAAATACTCAGTTGCTACCCACTCAGAAGTTGTTTGTCTGGTCCTAATGTCCCTAAAACAATTATGGTCTGACACCAATCTTTTGATGGCAACTCTACCCTCAGATTGTACCAAACTGCCATACAATCTCCATGGACAAGGGTCAGTACACCTTGCTTGAACTTACTTTTGACTAGTTTGCATGAATTGAATGTTACACCCATTGTGTATTGCATTTTTCGGATTGCATTTTTCAACTGCATTACACTGTCAAATCTCATACCCAACACAAACTTCAGAGTACTGTGATCACACTTAGGGTCATAAACTACTAACTTCTTCTTAGAATTAGACACCCCAGTAGAATCATCGTCAACCTGTCCATGGTCAGAAATAGGTGAATCAGTGTTCACTGACCCATCAGAATCCTCATAATCAGACTCTAAGTCTCTAACAACTGAACTTTCCTCAATTTCTTCAGCCTTTTTGGATTTCTTATACATTACCCTATCCCTCCTTGCAGCAAGGTATTCCTCATCATCTGTTCCCAAATTATCATCAGAGAGTCCATCCTCACTAGAATAGTCATCAGACTCATCATTAGATGGAACATACTCATCATCATTTGAGCTTTCTTCAACATCATTAAAATTTCCATCCTCTGGAGGGATTGCAGCACTTTGTACTGCATCTTTTGTTGCACATTTAGATGATTGTCCATTCTGTGCACATCCAATTATCTTTTCACTATTTGAGCATACATACATATAAACAAGTTTTTTAGAAGGAGGTAACAGGTTCAACATCTCCATGACCCCAGTGTCATCATGTATTTCTGTGTATTCCTCTGAATTTGGAACCTTGTACAATATCTTATTCCACTCTTTACAACCCAACTTATCAGTCTCTTCTACCAGATCAAAGAAACCAAATCTATTCAAGTCTAGTCCAGTAACTAAGTGAATATTATCACCAAAGAAATCCAAGAAACCATCAATATTAACCATGTACCCTCCGTAGTTGAAATAGATTGCGAAAGAATTACTGCAACATTATAAAGAAAGAGAACACATGTCACAGAATATCAAAATTAAATTAAATTCATGATTTAACTCGAAGTAATAATCATGGTTCAACAAATCTGTTGCACATGCCAATTACTAACCCGCAACACAAGAAACAAAAAAACAAAAAAATATAGGCTCGAAGAATGGCCATTTGCATTCTCATATTCTGTTTCCAAAATATAGCCTACAACACCACAATTTCATCTCATATGGAATAATACAAGGGGATGAGCTGTACCTGTCGTCCATTACACACGAAATTTCTTCTCAGATGGAGCTTCGCCAATTCCTCGCGTCTGTAATTTTAGGATTTTCGAACATTTGAAATTAGGGATTTTGGAGTTTAGAAGGGAATTAGGGTTTTTAACTTGATTCACCTTTTAGCTAAGCCACGTCAATGCCACAACATGGCCACATCAACCCCTCAAAATTTCCGTCACTTCCAAGTCAGCACTCTGTAAACGGCACCGTGAATTGTGGTTCGTTTTGCAAAAAAAGAAAAGGCTCGTGATTAAATTGCCAATTCCCAAAGGTGGTGATTAAAATGCAAAACTGTGAAAGGTGGTGTATTAAATTGCAATTTTGCCTATATAAAATTAATCATCTTTTAACGATCTTTACTTCAACATTCATACTGC